GTAGTGATCCATTACTATCTTGGTTTCTTCAGTCCAAATATCAATAAAAAAATCCGTGTCGCGATCAATCGCGGCATCGTTTTTTGACGACCTTAGAATCAAGGCTGTACACTTTCCATTTTTTAAATAGCTTTTTGCTGTAACTAATTGATGTAGTGATCCATTACTATTTTGGTTTCTTCAGTCCAAATATCAATTTAAAAAAATCCGTATCGCGATCCATCCACGACATCGTTTCTTGATGGCCTTTGAATCAAGGCTGTACACTTACCATTTTTGAAATAGCTTTTTGCTGTAACTATTTGATGTAGTGATCCATTACTATCTTGGTTTCTTCAGTCCAAATATCAATAAAAAAATCCGTGTCGCGATCAATCGCGGCATCGTTTTTTGACGACCTTAGAATCAAGGCTGTACACTTTCCATTTTTTAAATAGCTTTTTGCTGTAACTAATTGATGTAGTGATCCATTACTATTTTGGTTTCTTCAGTCCAAATATCAATTTAAAAAAATCCGTATCGCGATCCATCCACGACATCGTTTCTTGATGGCCTTTGAATCAAGGCTGTACACTTACCATTTTTGAAATAGCTTTTTGCTGTAACTATTTGATGTAGTGATCCATTACTATCTTGGTTTCTCCAGTACAAATATCAATAAAAAAATCCGTGTCGCGATCGATCTGCGACATCGTTTTTTGACGACCTTAGAATCAAGGCTGTACACTTTCCATCTCTGAAATAGCTTTTTGCTGTAACTATTTGATGTAGTGATCCATTACTATCTTGGTTTCTTCAGTCCAAATATCAATTAACAAAATCCGTGTCGCGATCGATCTGCGACATCGTTTTTTGATGACCTTAGAAGCAAGGCTGTACACATTCCATTTTTGAAAAAGCTTTTTGCTGCACCTACTTAATGTAGTGATCCATTAGGCACTATCTTGGTTTCTTCAGTCCAAATATCAATAAAAAAATCCGTGTCGCGATCGATCTGTGACATCGTTTTTTGATGACCTTAGAATCAATGCTGTACACTTTCCATTTTTGAAAAAGCTTTTTGCTGCACCTACTTAATGTAGTGATCCATTAGGTACTATCTTGGTTTCTTCAGTCCAAATATCAATAAAAAAA